GGTCTAGCCAGTTATAGAGCTACTTTTCACATCTGTCTATTTGAGCTTCCTGACACTGAAATTATAAGATGGTTTTCCTTCAGAATGTCAAATTGACACAAGGGAGAGGAAAACCTAAGTGTGTGACATGTAGCATAGGTGGAAAATGAGTTTCCCTATATTCTTATTTAGGCCTAATTTTCCAGAAAGTCATGTGAGAAGAAATGCAGTATGGTATAGTTTGGAGCAAGTTATCTTTTTTCCATTTCTTCCCAAACTCTAGGACTACTTTTAAGCCATAGGCATCCTAAGTTGAATCCAAATCTCTTTTCTGTTATTACTCCCTTTATAAAGCCTTCTTCTCACCTGTCATTGCAGTATGCATCCTTCCTAAATTGAGTGTCAGTGTTCCTGCTCTTCTTTGAGTCTCTCTGCATTTCTCCATCACCAATAAAATAAGAGATGAATAGATGTCACTGTACAACCTGAGCCTCAGCACTGCCTCATCATTTCTATTTTCCTCCTCATACCTTCCCAGCCTCTCCAGGCAGCTTACAAAACCATAAATATTCTTTTTTCCCCCATGCATCTATGCTTAGCAACCAAGGTCCTGTCCCATCATTTCTGCCTGGAGAGTTCTACTGGATCAGCTCAAATACCACTCTTTCCCACAGACTTTTTCCTTTTAATGGTCTCGTCTCCCCTCACCTAGCATCTCTTTCTAATAGCATGTGTTATTTACCATTAGATGAGTGTCTGCCTCCTCTCCATACTCTCTCACACAAGACTGTGAGTTCCTTGTGTATAGAGATGATGTTTTGCTCATCATTGCATCCCTATAACCTTGCAGAGGGCCTTGAAGAGATCCAGGGAAATGCCCTCTTTGGGGATGCCCATGAGCCCCAAACCAAATTAAATCTGTTTTCCAGATTGAGGAAAGAACACCTTGCTTCTGCATCAGTTTCAGCATTTGATCCTCTTCCCCTCTTCCATGAGACCTTGCTTGGCTCATGTGGAAGTGAGTGGTAGTGGCCAGAACTATGGTGAGCTGGAAAGTGTTGTTTTCCCCCTTGGTGTTAACTAATGTACTTCTTCTCTAACTATAAAAGAATATACATAACAGATGGTTTAATATGAACTCTGTGTCAGCAAGCAAACCTTTAGTATAAACATCTAGATTTCTGAAATACATATATAAACAGAAAGTGCCTTTGTCTGTCATTAACAAGGAAGCTGTTTGTTTTTAACAGTCACATCTGGAGCTACATTTTTTGTGTGCCTACTGAACGACATGCATGTTATCCTTCCCCATCTCCACCTCCAAGCCTAATGTTTCAGGCAGACTCATTTTATATAAGATGCTCATTTGCATTAGTGGAGGCAGAAAGGGATGCTATGTGTGACTTAGAGTTATGAATGTGTTAACAGCTTAATTCCTTGAAGAATGCTCATAGAGAACTAGGTGGAAAACTTTGGTGATTGGCCAGGTGTAACTTTGAGGGGTGTGTGTGTGTGTGCATGTGTGTTCAAGTCATCTGGAATTGTACACTAAAAAATGGATAAAGTATATGTATATTTTTTGCAATTATGTTGGAGGAGAATTTAAGTTCACTTGCTCAGTTATCAAAAATTCATTTCACGAATATCTTCTATGTATGTGCCAGGCACTATACTAGGAGTGTGAGGATCCTTTGATGAATAGCACAGGGTTCTAGCCAAATAAGTAGGCATAGATATTCACAATTTTTTTTTGTCGGTCATGGGGCTTGAAGTCTGGGCCTGCGCACTGCCCCTTAGCTCTTCAGCTCAAGGCTAATGTTCTACCACTTGAGCCACAGCACCACTTCCAGCTTTTTCTGTTTATGTGGTGCTGAGGACTCGAACCCAGGGCCTCATGCACGTGAGGCAAGCATTCTACCACTGAGCCACCTTCCCAGCCCATATTCACAAATTTTAAAGTGCTGTCACAGAAGTTTTAAGGAAATGTTTTGATGCTCAGAGGGAAAAATTTCAGAGTAGGTACTATGCCAATCAAGTCTTAAAGAATGGGTAAAATCCATCATTTGAAGCAAAAGGAAAGGTGGTCCAGGCAGAGGGATGTAAGCAGGAGCTTAGAAGAGTCAAAAGTCATGGGATTCAGATTTATACAAAAGTATAGTTATTATAAACATGTAGCCATTAAGTTCAAGGCTTATTAAACATCTCTAGTCATAGAGCTCTGGAAAGGTCAAATAAAAGTCATTCAGGAGGCTGAGATCTGAGTATTGCGATTCAAAGATCCTAGGCAGGAAAGTCCATGAGATTCATATCTCCAACTAACCACCAGGGGAAAAAAAGCCAGAAGTGGAAATGTGGCTCAAGTGGTGGTGTTACCTTGGGTACAAAAGCTCGGGACAGTTCAAGTCCCAGGTCTGGCACACACACACATACACAAAGCCACTATCTCTTTCCATGAAACCTCTGTCCCAAGAGTTCAAGCATCCATAATGGAATTGGGCACTGGTGGCTCACACTAGTAATCCTAGCTACTCAGGAGGCTGAGATCTGAGAATCAAGGTCAAAAAGTAGAGATGTGGCTCAAGAGGTAGAGCATCAGCCTTGAGCAAAAAAGAGCCAAGAAAGTGTGAGGCCCTGAGTTCAAACCCCAGTACAGGCAAACACATAAAAAAGAATCCATGATTGAATTATTATATGACCATATACAACAAATTGAAAGAATGTTACATGCTGTGAGCCTCATCCTAACTCTGAGTGTTACTTAAGATGAATAACTCATTAGTACATAAAAGATTAAGCATTGAGTCTATAAGTAGTTGATTTTGTTCCCAAAGTATATAGGATATTATAATCTCTTCCCTACTTCAATTATTTATATTTCCACCCCCTCTAGGTTAGAATTTTAGATATATGCATTTAGAATGTTAGGTCAAAGATTCAAGTATAAGGATAAACCTAAATATCATATTTTATTTCTTCCTTTTTCATTTTTAGGCATTGGATGCAAACTGGAGAGTAATATGATTTTTCTGTGCAACTCTGTTGTCTGGGCTTAGTGTACCTTTCCAGGTAATTAATTCCCCAGCCTGCTTATTTTTTCTAGTTGGCTCTTGTTTAGCTTCCACAGAGCCCCACCCTAAAGTGCTTTATTGTCCCTCTGCTGACTTATTTCTACATATGGTCAAAATCAACTCACCTTCCCGGATTGCTGACATCAGCAAATTCACTGTTTGGCAAACTGGGCTCTGCTCCCAGTAACCCTTTGTTCAAGAAGTGTTATTACAACAGAGTGCATCTGATACCTAACAAGGCTGTCCAATCTCTTGCACTCCTAAGGAGAAACCCTTTGTGCACTTGGGTTTACAGCCACAGGCAGGATATTAGCACTCTTGGACCTGTTGGGTGCTAGAGCACTGCTAATGAGCAAACAACCTTGCCTCAATTAGTGGCTTGGGAAGTATTCCTGGATATCAAATTGCTTTTGCTGCTTGATAATCACAGTAGCTCTTGGGATGAAACATCAACCAAGCAAAAATTGTTTCCCCTATTGAGTACTGCTTGTTGATCTAAGTTGTATTTGTAGATGGAATGGAAGTTTGCCATTTCCCCAGCTGAGGTTTGATTTACACATGTAATTGTTGTGCTGGTGTTCATGGTTTCTCCTGTGAATCTTTTCCAGATTGGCATCTTCCCAGACTGATTCTATAATAATTACTTAAGCCAGATTATTTTAGAAATAAATATAGATTTTCACAAGGCATAGGTCATCTAATTTAGAGGTGGAAGAGGGGACATAGATATGGATAGACATACATACAGACAGATAGATACATAGATAGATATTGGGAGAATGTTCTAGTTTGACTCTTCATAAATTATTTGCTTCTTAATTACTGTGAAAATCCAGAGTGTGGTAATGTTAGCCCCAGAAACTGAAAAGCTTCAGTATACAGCTTGGGAAAGAAAGAGAAGTAAAGGGAAAGGAATTCAAGATTTGTTTTTCATGTTTGAATACATTTATTGTAACAAGAATGCTGTTATATTCATAAGCAAAGGTCATCATTTTTATCTAAGAATTGTCAAAGTGAAAATTCCAAATTGGAAGGATACATCTTTTGTGAAACTTGCCATGAGTCCCTGCTTTGAGAATAAGCAGCTACTGTTAAATCTCTACTAACATTACAAATGGTCACAGCACATGCCACTTGATACAATCCAAAACTTTGAAGTGTTTGATTCCCCAGCAGACTGCCCCTCACCACTGCCCTCCCCCCTCCAGCCTTCTGAAACACCGTACTATCTTATGCCAAGCATTCAGTGCAGTTAACTGGGGAAGGGAGGTGGATAACCTTATGATAACATCAGATGCATTTATTTCTAAAGCCTAAGGGAGAATAGAGTTCTTACTGCATGATAGCATGAGGCACTGCCATAATTGACACTCAACCCTTGCAACTCTGTGGAAATCTAACATAATTTTATCTATAGATAATGCAGCAAAGAGGGTTTTTTTGAGGGGGGTACTTTTCAATATTTTATTTTCTTAAATATCCTTTCCGGAATTCTCAGAAACAAAACATAAAAAAATTATATACTTTATTACAAATGGTAAACTCAGAGTGCTCCAAATCTCTTATTTACAAACAACACTGGGCAGGACACCCAAACAAACAAACATGAAATAACTTACAAAGGCAGGAAGCTGTTTATTGACAGTAATCAGCTTTCATCAAATTAAAAAAAATATGTATATGTACATACACCGTTGACGAGGCAAGCCAGGAGTTCATTGGTGGGCGCAGCCTCGCCCTCATACACCTCCCTCCAGCCTCCCCCTCCCCACCCTCCCCACTTTGTGTTCTTAAGGAGTACTACAGAAGCAATCTACAGTCTCTATTGCAGTTTGAACCCCCCGCCCCCCTTTAATACTGAATGAGATCGAATGTTAGGTCCATGCAGTTCTTGGTCAATGTTAAAGTCAATCTTTCTGCTCCGGCGCGCGGGGGGGGGAGGGGACTACCCGTCCCGCGCCGGGGTGGGGACTGCCGGTCCGCAAAGCGGGGCAGCCCGCAGGCGGCAGCTCCCTGGCCGCGTGCCCAGGCAAGGCGCGCCAAGTCCTTCCCACTCGTGCACACTGGGGGCGCCGTCAGGACGCAGCCCAGTCCAACTTGGATACCCTTGGCTTTAGTCCTCGGACACCTCTCTCTCTCTTATCTCTCTCACTCTCTCTCTCTCTGGCGCAACCTGTCAAGTTCTCAAATCTGTCTCTGTTATTATTTGCTCTCCGTTGTCTCTAAGTCCCGAGAGTCTCTCCTCAAAACGTTTGCAACTGCTGCGTTAGCATGAGCTGGCACCCGCTGTTAACGTGGTTCATGACTTTCTGTTTAAGCTGTGCCACCTGTTCCCTGAGCATGTTGGCCGTGGACGCCAGCTCCGAGTTCTGCGCTTTCAAGGTTTTCACTTTTTCCTCCAGCCGGGCGATCCTCTCCAGCTTCCTTTTCCGGCACTTGGAGGCGGCGATGCGGTTCCTCATGCGTTTCCTCTCCGCTTTGATCCGCTCCTGGGACTCCATGTCGATGGGGGACAGGGGCGGCGTCTCGCCGGGCATCTCGGGCACCGTCTGCGGCTCCTCCTTCAGGGCTTGCAGCCGCGGATGCTGCACGGGGATCTGCTGGGGCAGGTGGTGCGGCTGCGGCTGCGGCGGCGGGGGCTGCTGCTGGGGCTGCGCGGGAAAGGCCAGGCCCGCCG